AATCATCTCTGAATTAATTTATTTGCGCGCGCGCGCACGTGTGTTTTAAATGTAGATTAATGCACCTAGCTACGCGATGGGAAATATGTCAAATCACCGGTCGGCGGCAGATGATATGAATTTCAAATAGCTATAATTTTTAATTAATCGCTCTAGCACTTGAGAAGTGAAGCAACTTCGTTGTATATGTAATAAATCATCAAGTTGATGAGAATATTGAAATTAAAATTGGCAAGGAACGAATTTTACTCTTTAGATTCTCATTTCATATCTTCTTTTAATTCTTCTAAAATCAATATTAATAAACAAATTATTCAATTTAATAGAAAAATAAACTATATGGAAAATATTATATGAATATAGTTTACTTATTAATCGCGAAATTTTAATGAGAATAAAATAAATTAATATGTGAAGTGTAAGAGTTTTTTTGTTATCGTCTTTTTAATATATTTATTTGCAAAATATTAGATTAATACCATTGCTCAGAATAGAAACTGCATTAGATATTATAAAATAGACTGATTCTGCGCATTTAATATGACATAGAAAAAAATTATAATTATTATTATATGTATAAACATTTAAATGCCAACTTCGCATTGCTTTCTAGTCTATTGAAAAATACAAGTGGAAATAGATTAACCGCTTTCCTTATAATGCTTCAAAAAAAAAAATCTTACATACAATCTATCATATTATTTAAATTACTTCCCTTGAGAATGTTTCCTCTGTCAATACTTGGAGAAATTACTTTCCGCTTTCGATTCTAATAATCTCCGTCACGCATTTGTCATATGTATGTACTCGTGATTAAGATGCCCAGCGAATTTATGTAAAAACAATGAATTATAATGATGAGATTTCGATTTATGTTTATGGCGGCGCTATTATATATGTGCACGCAGTTACGCTCGCGATGTCAGGGAACGTCTTTACCTTTTATAGATAGGCGACGATAATATTCGAATATTCGTACATTATAATTATTTTCGTAATTTAAAAAAATTCCCTAATTTATTTATATCTTGATATTTAATAATGATATATAAAGTTTGTGTTAATAAAAATATATTTATATTCAAATTTACAACCATAAGACGTAATTTTTAAAATGTCAAACTTGTATAATTTATTTCAAAAACTTCTTCATTATTTTCTAATTAAATTTATAAAAAATTATAAATCTCAAGTTAAAAATAATTTAAATATAATTTAATATATATATATATATATATATATATATATATATATAATATATATATATAATATTAATATAAATTATACTATATTATATAATTATTTATATGTATATTAACTAATTAATTTATTAGTTAAATTGAAATATGTTTTAATAATAATATTATGAATTATGGATATCTTTTTAATATCTTTATAATTATCGATAATAGTTGTCGCGTGAATACTGTTTCGAAATAATGTTATCATTATATGTATATTTATCAAGAACAAAAGACGTCTCATAATGCCAAGTGTATCACTGAATCTTCTTCGCGAATACTTATCTCGGTACAGTCTTCAGCAATTACTCGAAATTGCCGACCGTGAATCATGTTATCGTCTCGTTGATCGTCGTCGGACTAATAAAGAATCGCTCGACACGAGCGAAAAAAGAAATAGAAAGGATGTGGTTCATCTCATAAATTATACCGCCAGAATTTCTGGTCGTGATAAATTGCATGCACATAAATTGCAGATACAGTTCACAGAGGCGCCGCGAAGATAATATAGAAGAGAGAAATGATTAGATACCGGTGTTTGAGCAGTGGCGGTGTAATTGGCACCTCGACTACTGCGACTATCATGTGTATATATCTAAGCAAGGTTGAGAAATATATAGTGAAAACAAATACGATATTTTAAACAATTTATCAATTTAAGTCTTCTTTCTCATCCTTTCTCATTATTAATTTATGCAAAATATATTATATGCATGCTCATTAAAATTAATATACGAATATGAAATCTTTATTTTGTTTTTGTCGTCTTATTATAATTTGGCGAAAAGTGTGCGATTATATTTATTAATATTTATTATTTTATAAGTGCATAAATTTATTAATATATTATCAATTGTCCCATGCATTGCGATACTTAATCTGTTAACTTGTCTTAATGTATCTCATTAAAATCATATCATTATTTCGTCAGTTTTTCTTGAAATATATACACGTGCGCGTTTATAATTTCAGATCAATTGCATATGTGATTTAAACTAGACAGTGAACAATATGGAATATTCCTAACACATGCAATAATGTTTGCTGTCTCCAGATTTCTATACATTATACCTAGATCGCTACATCGAACAGTTATTTACAATTAGAATATATAGATTGACTTAATATACATTTTATGTCGTATTTCAATTTGTCGGCAGATATTATAAAGTATGAGCTCTTTTTATGTACAGATAAATATTGATTGATAGTTACAGATATTGATTGATATTTTGGGTTAAGATTTCATCTATTAATAGAGTAATTATATTCTGTTCAATTGTAAGTAACTCTCCTAGCTTCATCTTTAGCAAAACTGTTAACGGTCTAGTATATATAGAAGTTTATGACACACATTTTGATACACTTACCATACAAACTATTCATGATAATGCGAATGAACATGTGCTTCAATTCTGTATGATTATTTGGATTGAGTACACGTGCGCGGAAATTGCGTGAATGAAATTGCAATCTTTCTCGAGAAATGAGAAATAGAATATGCTTAAAGGCATATACCATGTTATACTTACATCCGCGTGTCATAAATCGATAAACACGTTGCCCCGTATTCGTGCCTTGTTATAAGAATGATTCGCGAGGCTTTTGTACAAAATATAATTGAAAGAGATTTTTTAATTGAGATCTGTATTTTTTATTTAAATATGCTTGTATGTGGCATCTAAATGTTTTAAAATGATAGTTATGAATATTTTGCATCATTTATTTTAAGAGATTTGCATCTTAAAAGTTGACTGTCAGCGTTGTATATGTATGTGTATAATATAGAATCATTGCAGATATAAATTCCAAAGATTTCTTGATATGTATATATGCGCGAATCCATATATTATTATTTTATAATTTTTATTATAAAAAATAAAAAATAGAATAAGAATTTTTATCAAGAAATATTAACGACAAATTTCGCATTAATAATTCAACAAATTATAAAACTTGCTTCCGTTTATTTATAATTCCGCTAATGTTAACTTACAATGGAATTTTAATTTTAGATTCAAGTATTAAAAATTACCGAATCAAGTATTAAAAATTAAGGAATCATAATAGTTTTTAATATGAAAATTAATCATAAAATTAATTAACGTTCCACATTAAAAATTTTTTGACAAATAAGAAATCAATTTTAAATCAATAAAAATTCTTTTTATGGATAAAAGATAATAATATGCAATAATGTGAATCAATATATTATCATAATATCTGAAATTTCCTGTATATATTACCGTAAATGGATGAATAATGATCGCGAACGAGTAAAGGTCATCGATCGTCGAGAGATTGAAAGTCGCTATAATGGTGAAAGCAAACGATAACGAGGGAGGTCAGGAACGAGTAATAGTAACATTGACATTCATGAAAGATATTAATCGTGTCAGTGAAAAATATTAATCGCGTCTAATTAATTTATATGTGGTACAAAAGAATACATTTTGAAGTGAAAACTGGCTAAAAATATAATTGACAAATTTGCAATGTGCATTTGCATTATTATTAAAGAGAAAAAAGTTGTATTTCTCTTTATTTATTAAATAATCCGACGTCATATCTGCGAATTGCGATCGGCCAATTAGCAAACAGTGTATAATTTAACAAATTATTTAATTAAATAAAGATGTTATATAAATATATAATATATTAATGTGATAAAAAGAAATATATAATATATTAATATGATAAAAAGAAATATATAATATATTAATATGATAAAAAGAAGAGTTCGATGATTTGTATTGCAAGTCACTCATTTCAAAATGTACACGACTTGTATGAAAGTGATCGTGAATTAGCGTTCGAATTTAAATTAATATTTAAACTGACTTGTTTGTAAACAGTGATGCAAAGTCATCTAACAGTGTTTTCCTTCATGAAATTCAAATCAAACGATCCACTTCGTTTCCTCTAACGGATTGCTGAAGTCTTAATCTGCACGCTTCTTTGTATGCTTTTATTCTCTCACTATAGAAATATTTGCTATATCATTAATGTTTCATTTCTCACGCAGAATTCAATAAGTACATAAATAATATTATCGCCCATTACTGACAAAAAAATTATGTTTAATTTAGCTATATGAATTTTACAACACACAAATAAAAACTGCAATTCAAATTGAAGAAAACTAGGACTGCAAAAAAGATGAAATGATTAAAATAATAAAATGTTATTATGCATGAAACTTGATATAAACTATTCAATGAGTTCAACTATATTGTTTAAAAAAAGTTATACGTAATGAGCCAGAAATTGTTATGCCATATTTATGCACTTCAGAGAATGTGTATTTTTAATCCCTGTTATATTAATATTTGCTAATATATTCAATTAAGAATGCTATTTGTGTAAAGTTTCTTTCTGTTAGGAAGTTTTTTCTCTATGCTTATTAAATTTTTTGGTGAATAATTGGAATAATTCAATAAATAAAATAATATTATAGAGCAACTATACGCATATAATATCTTGTTCCTTTATTTATTGAATTGCTCTTGTAGAAAAAAAGATTATATTCTACAGAAGAAAATTAAAATATATATTTTAATAATCATAGAAAAATGTTAATTTTCATCAAAAGCTCTGAATCTTTCGGCAAATCTTTTTAATCTTTTCCAAAAAGATCTTTTTTATAAACGGAAACATCATTAAATACACATTTCATTCACACAATCAATACACACACACACACACACACATATATACATTATATAATATTCTAATTTATCAATTAAGAGATTGACTTACTTCTTTCATGTATGACGGATTGATATTGATCTTCACGTCGTTCGTTCGCCGCTTCTTTATCGTCGCAAATGCGAAATCTGGAGAGTGCGCGATAATTCTGCAAATTCATATCCAGTGCCTTCTGCAATTCCAGTCTACGACGGGCGAGACTAATTCCGTGGGCGGGAAGACGATCATCGATGCGATGATACCGATAGCAATTTCTCGCATCTCACGAGACGTTTACACGGCTGGCAAATTTGTGAGGCAAGACGTCCGATCTGAAAAGCAAGCCTGGCATGAAACATCAGATTAAGGAGTGTTAACGCGAGACGAAAGTAAGTTGGGAAATGAAGGCAAAGTGCGTGCATGTATATATGTTCATTATTCGCGCAAAATAAATTAGAATAATCAACGTCCTAACGTTAATTGGGAACCATTCATTTTATTCGTAAAGATTCGTAGATGTTACATAAAAGAAGAATGTGCGAGAACCACCCATAAAATACCCCAATTGTGATAATTGTCTTTAAATAAAAACTTGATACTTTATAATATAACAAAAAAGTAATAAAGCTCTCTGTAAATTCAAAATAAAAGTGATCAAGTAGGCGTAGAGAGCTAAGCTTTCTGACTTAATACATTTCACGATTTTTCTTTCGATTTTTCAAGATTAAAGGAGCTCGCGCATAATTGCGTTTTTAGAGATTTCTTTAGGAAAAAGAAATGTGCATTTGATAAAAAAATTCGTTCGATAAATCTATGTGCTGGATAGCAAACTTGTTTGTAATAAATCGATGACTTCAAAGATCTAAGATTCGATGTTACTTATAATTATTCTAATTATCGTAGAAATTATCACGAAAAGATATACCTTTAAGGCTTCGATTTTCCTGTTCCTTATTGCGTCGATTCAATTGGCTGTCAAGTCTTGGGCTCTAACGAGATCCTGTTTCTCTCAGTAAAATGCTATCTTCTTCGTTTAGGGTGAGCGCGTATTCAGATGCAAAGAGTGGCGTATCGCGATTAACGTCAGGCTGATTTATCGCCGCATCAGTGCAAAACCATCAACACCTCGTCTATAATAGTTCCTTCAAATGATCGGTCCAGGCATATACGAGAAAACGTAATATCCTCGGACAGATTACTCATTTGTAGACATCTGTGTCCACAGGTGTCCTGATAGATTTTACCGTAGCGTCCTCAGAAAAAAATTCGAAAGGATCATTCGAAGATTGTGGGTCGTCGTGTAAAGTTTTTCTACATGTGCTAATGTTTGACATACACTTCACGCCGAGTGAAAATTTCTCGATTTCTCGGCACAATTTTCTCCGGTTCCGGTTAATAACGAATGTCCCTGTCGATTAATCGTGGTGTTTAAGATCTTAATATCAATGTGCTATACCACGGATAATCACTCAATTAAGGCAAGATGCGTCAGATGCGGAGTCACGCTATGGATTCGATCCAGATTCCAATTCTTTTTTATGCGTAATACGATGCTGGAATTAATTTAGAAAGCTTCCTGTTGATTCTTCAAAAGGTACGATCCAAATTCCTCTGTTTTTTATCAGGCGTACCTGACTACTCTCATTGAATCACGTCGCTCTCGTAGTTTCTCCCGCTCGAAACTTTTGTTGTTTGTGAAAGAGAGAAGGTGATTGTGATTGTGTATAAGTCGCTATTGTATAATTTTCTATTTTTAGCACAAGGATAATAAAACGATGAAATTCTCTCGGTGGTTCACGATCGTGCATCACGATCGAGTATCAATTATTGTGATTGTTGCGTTGCACTCCTGTCGGTTCACACGATCGACACCGGTTGCGAAGGGTCACTCGGGTTCCAATAAATATATTTTTTCTAATTATTTCCTTTTAACAAAACAAAACGAATCCAATTCTACCTCTCTTCGCGCGCTGCGCTTCATTGGGATCGCGCGGCTTTTTTCGTCCGCGATCGCCGCTCTCGCGTTTCTTATTCGCTTCAACTCTTCGTATTTACGACGGTATACTTCCGGCTGATCGCTCTAATTTTCAAACTGAACGAGCGAGTTTTGCGAGCGCGTTGTGCATGTAAATCAGGATTCAAACGACTGCGTCGGAATCTAGATGTTTACGATTGACGTTATCCCGCCTCCTAGATTAAATAAAGCGAATTTCCGTTTGAGCAGCCTCTTTCTCCGATTCGTGATATATCTTATCAGTGCGATATCCTCGATATTTCTCCGCGGCTTTCTCTCCGCGACTGATATCCCGCCTCTCTTAATAATTTATAGCGCGGTTTGTCGAGGCGGTATCTCTGTTTACCGCAATATTACCTTTGCGTTTAACACGCTTAGCACGCTTTGTTAGAATAACGGGAAGAACCCTGGGCGATTTACGTTTCATTATTCTCTCCCTCGGCTTGTGTATGGCACGCGCCGTTGAACCGCCGGTTTAACATCTCTCATTGTAATCTTTTCGCGTCTTACTTTAAAGCGAAACAACCACGTTACAGCAAATGATAAATATATATTTCTTCTTCTGCGATTTCTCACAAGCTCTTGAATATCCGAGACAATAAAAGGTGAGAACGTCTGCTCCCCTTGTTTCTTGAAGTTCTCACCTCTTGAAGTTCTCGTTTATATCTGATATAATAACGCAACACGTATTGTAAATGTGTATTTTAAAATCTTCCTGTTAAAAATCTTCTTTTTAGACGCGTTAACAAGCGGTGTCTTACCTTTCCCTTAAAGACAAGAGAGATTAGTCTGACATCTTTCGTCTGTTTTCCCTTCCGATTTATTCCGATAACTTTTCGCAGCTCGTGGTAAACTTGTCTCCGAATTCTCGATATGTTGGTACCTGAAGAAGAATCATTTTTCATCAGAGTGATATTTTCGATTGCGAATCCGCCTGTTCTTTCATTTTTCTCTTATTATGCATCTTGCGACACGCATTATAATCCACCACCAGTGATATCCCTCGCATTACTTAAGAACCAGTCCAAGACAATTTCTCTGGCTCTCTCTCCCCTTCGTCCACTTATCAGATATAAGAAATTTATAAACTAACATATCGAACGCTTATTATTTACCTACGACGTTGACCCAATAATGTTTTCTCACGAAGTACTCTTCTCGTGATGGCTCTCGTCGCGGCACCGATATAACAATTTGATACTTCTAGCTGTACGTTGTCAGATCGATCGACACTCGATATTCACCACGTGTTCCCGATCTTCTCTCTCAGTACGGTTTACTTCACCCTTTCTCCTTTCTTCCTTACCGGGTTATCCTTCTCCGTCAATGGACCTCCGCAGCGAATCTTATCAGGTTGCACGCCGCACGTTTAACCTCACGTTTTGACCCCTGGCTCTCGTTTGACGTTCCGTTTCATCTCGTATCGCAATTGCCTTTTCGTGACACGAAAAAGTCTTTCACTTGAATTGTCTTTCGCAAATGATTTCTTCCATTGTCCTCTTCCTCTTTTCCGTCGTTGACATGAGTGCCATCAACAGAGTTATTCTTCCGCGTTTCTGCGCCTATTCATGAGTACGTCGTCGTTGCTCCTTTCGCTCCAACCTTTTTCTTCTTGCCACTCTACTCTTAACCGTCTCACATGCTTCTTGGCTCCATCAGAGGGATAATTTGCACGTCTCGATTACACACATCGAAAATATCGGAGATATTCTATAATTGCACGACGTGCGTTTCCATTACATTCAATTTACATGTGGAATTGAAATTACAGACCTTTGTAAGCTTGATTGTGCGTGCGAATATTTTAAAGTAGATTTTCCGCGTATCATATAATTAAAAAAAAAACACAATGAATGAATCAAATGTAATCAGAATATATTAAAGATTGCAATTATATACTCATCTCTTTTCTCGATGAAACTTTGCTGGAATTTTCAAATCTCACAATTCAATTATTCTTGATCGAATCCATCAACGATACAATTATATTCGCGTATCCTTTTTTTAATATCGGCATCATCTGCAAAGAAGCGCAAAGATCTCGCGTCTTCAAGAGTTACTTGACGAACGCCGGGATACTACTGAGGCAAAGACTAGAGATAGCTTCTCTTTACGCGGTGCAGACAGACTTAATTGTGGGAACGTAAAGTTTCCTTCGGATCATTCACGGCCTCGTTCATTTAGTATTCCATCTCCATGTCATTACGCCGGTGCAGACATTTTCCGCAATCTTTCTCCCTCTTCGCACAGTTCATTCAAGAAATAAAAGTTTCGAATTGCCACTTGCCGAACGATTACCTGATGCCTGTGTCTATAAATGGAAACAGCTTGAATATTATATTTTTCCGCGAGGATCTTGAAAATGCAATTCATACGTTCTACTCTTCGCCTCTTAATTACAGATGCGAAATAAATTAATTTTTTTTTCACAACCGTACGCGATTTAAACCGTGAGTTCCAATGTTACACAATCTTCAGTACAGTTACATTGTTCAGACGAGTTAGAACGTTAACCTTCTTCTCTCGGTATCTCTCAAAGTCATTTATCGAAGCTCTGTATACTTTTTCTCTTTAATATCGTACAAAGTTATGTGTTAAAACGAGACAGTTACTTTATGCAAGAATAACCCCCTGTCGATCTTCAAGTTGTCCGCCGTTCGCATCCGCTGTTTCGAGTGTCGCGTTCATTCATCTTCATCGATCGTCGAGTCGGAGTCTTCTCTCAAGCCGTGATGAGGCACTTGCGTTTCTTCACACACTTCCAGTGTTACCATGTAACTAAACTTGGCGGATGGTAGAATTGCACTGAGGCTGGATGATGCCGAGCCGCCCCCAATGTAGCTCCTCCTTGCCTAGCTCTGCAATCGGGCCATTTAATAGTGGGGGATTCGGATCCCTTCTTTCGCTTCTGCCGGGCGAGCTTACTCGCTCACCTCCTCGTGTCCTTGCTCCAACACGATTGTAATATCCGATACCGAGTGTTTCCTCCCTCTGCCGCACCTTCCACGCGATTCTTCTCATTCTCACGGGTCTCACGAGGCTTTGTCTCCGGTTAAAGTGCGAATCCGTGTCGCTGGCATTTTCACTAAACGCCGTTTTCGTCACCACCCCACTCAAGCACTATCGCGAATCTGTCGATCGAGTTTATTCAAAGTTACCTTTCGAGATTAATAAACGCTATCTTCGCAAGAGATATTTTTTAAATACAAAACGATGATTTTTTTAAACATATTTATAAGTAAAAATATATATACTCGTCCATGAACCGTAACGCAGTTCTTGACATATTTCTAAAATTGTAAATTAAAAAATAAATTTCGTATTAAAGTCTATATGCGCGCACATTGAAATATTTTTCGCATCTTCAGAGGATCTTAGCTTCGTACTTTTTATCGCACATTTCCCCAGAAGATTGAATTTATAATTTATACGTCATCGAACAATTTGTAATCGCGCTTGACTTTAATTATTTACAGTCATTCTTCTTGTCATTTTTGACAGGTGGTACCCTGGAATGTTACAAATGCACGCACTGTTTATCGTGGGAACTTAGAGTGCGCTTGCAGAGAAATCACTAAGCAAAGGTTCCACCTGAAAAAGGGCATTCTCACGCGAAGAACGTGAGTCGTGCCAACATTCGACATTTTCTAGGACGGCGACCTCGATCTCTGCATACGCCGCGTTCCGCTGGAGCGGAAGCGTCGTTCGTCGCTTACGAAAGATCGTTTCTCTGCGAGAACTTCCGCGACTCGAGAGAGGGTGAGAGCTCGACAATGAGAGACGCTAATGTGCAACACTTGTAGCATGCTAATCGATCGCTGTAACATGCTAATCCTACGAACGATTAATGTTCGTGCCTCTCGGTTCCTTTTGGGAACATCGTGCCTCTCGGTTCCTTTTGGGAACATCGTGCCTCTCATGATGCACTCATTTATTGCTCCACGTGTAATTTTGTAAGCGGACAGAATATCTCTCTGTACGCACGAGAGACGCGGTCACCAAAAATAACAAAGAGCCTTGTCACGGATTCAAGAACACAAATCCAGATATAACAGTACTTGTACTTGAACATATCTCAATCATTACAATACGAATAAATAATTTTTAAGTAATTCGCTTATGAAACATTTAAGTAACACAAGAGATTATCTTAATCTCGTTACGCGATTTGATCAAATGCATAGCTTTAATTAAAAAGATTCGGTGAGAAACGTTATAATAATACACAATTATATCTCTTCGATCGATACAATCAGCTTAATAATAAGTTGTTTGAAAGTCATACTTGTTAAACAGGAAATAAAACCTCTGTTTATAACGCAAAGACGCATGCAAAATGATACAAACATTCAGAAATCACTTGAAAAAATAAATGCGAATATCTTTTCAACATCTTTTGGATTCATTGATAATTAAGATAATTGGTTTTTCTTTTACACGTCATAATTTTAATCATGCATATAAACTTGACATTTCTTTGAAATATGATAAGTTCTAAAACACAAGAAGAGAAGTGAAAATAATAAGTGATGTTATCTAAAAAATTATATTATATAATAATTATATATTGCTCTATTCGTCGCAAACTTTTTTTATTAAGTATAAGTTTGTATAACGTTAATAATTATTGCGTGCATTCGCAAAATGTTTATCTGAACGTCACAACAGAAAGATCAGGGTGTAATCGTCAGTGTTCGTTGCACTCTGTACAGTGCGAGGCAATTTAGTCTTTAAACGATCTTGGAATAAGATTAGGAAAAACGTACATATACGCATACCAACCGCATATAATTAACGTAACAATTATGATTACGGTACATGAGCGCGTGGTTGCCCCGAGTTTATACGCATTATAACGCTGCGTCGCTTTAAAAGCGTAACGCTGCGACGTTCTTTCTTTTCGTGAGATATACGATATCTATTACAATATCTATTATAATAAAATGCAAACGAGTTTCATATAAATAATAAAAAATAGCTCTTCAGAACGCAAATAATAAGTTTTCGTATCAATCATAACAGGATATACACGATTATTCTGCAATGTAACGATTATAACATGTCAAGTTCGGCAATTAATGTACACATATAATGTGATAATTATAAGATAGATTAATTTTGAAGAAACATATAAATTAAATTAAATAATTAATTTTGAAGAAACATATATATTATTGCGATAAAAAATAATTTTTTTAACATAAAATGTGTATGATCATTTTTCGAAATTTTTTAATACTGAATATGATTTCCAAATTTCTTAAAATTGTAATGTGACAAAATTTAAAAACCGAATCAAACATCTAAAGTCAACAAAAATGCAAAAAATAATTATTCCTTTTCTTAAGTATTTTTTTTGTTGAATTATATTCTTAAATGTACTTTAACATTTAAAAAAAAATATATTATTCTTTCGATTTCATAGAAAAATTGTACACATTAAATACATTTATTAATGGATACCCGATCATTTAAAATATGACTATAGTAATACTAAGAAAATTAGAACCACGAAATGTGAAATTACATATTATGATTTCTTTCAAGTTACAAAAGCGTATCAATCTTATACTTGTATGGATATCATCTTAGCTCTGAGATCATAGAGTTCTAAACCGTTATTTATGTTATCTTATGGTTGTCCCATGTAATCTAAGAATAATCCAAGACCAAGGCTAGTCGACGATATAATACAATATGTATGAAATTATATAGTGGATACAAAGGCTTAAGTGGACAACGGAATATAGTAATAAAAGTAAATACACGTGAGCGGAAAAAGGAGGTTGCGGTATCTATGATGTCGAAACTTTATAAATAATCTCTAAATTTCTGCTTACTTTTATGCAAATTTTTTGCGCAAATTAAAACGTCACTGTTTATTACACGAGATTTAAAAGAAACGTGTATTCTCAACCGGAAAAATATACGCAAAAAAGAAATCTGACACGTTATATTACCTAATAAGAAGAAATACATAAATATCTAAGATCGTTAGATTTTTAAGAAACTTTTTTAACGTATACCAGGTATTTTGCTCTTTCAAAAAAAAGTCAACTATGAAATTTTATCTGTATGTTACATTGAATTACATAAAGAGTTACGTTATATCGAACATTACATAAGGAGTTTCTTAGATCAATTCATTACATCTCATGCAGAATATGATATAATGATTAAATGATATAATGATATAATGATTAAACGTTGTAATGTAACTTTAATGTAACTATATTGGGAATTCACACGTGATAAGAGAATTTAAGATGCGAAATTCATTCGCATTTGCAATCCACAAAAGGATTAAAGTGTGAAAAAGACATCCGACTGAATATCCGGTACTATCCCGCTTGCTTAATGATGTTACGGGTCACAAACTTCCAAATTACCTTTCGGAATGGTAACGGAAGTCTTTCATCTTTTCTTGTGCGAGAGGTTTGTCGTGAATTCGTAAAACTATTATTTTCATCGTTCCATTTTTTCGAAATTGGACCAAGTCTCAGAACATCCGCTACATCATGAATTCGTGATTTGATAGAATGATAAATGTACGAAAAAAACTGTTATTTACATATGCGCATCATTACATATAATGTACAGAGAAAAAATTAGTCTATTTTTTATTATTTTACATACATTAAAATATCAATAATCTCTAATAAAAAATTGAAAATAAGAAAATTTTTCACAAATAACATGCAAAATAAATAACTATAATTCTATAGAGAATTCTATAGAGAACTAAAATTGCTTAGAAAAATATTATAATATATAATATATATTAAAATATAATACATATACATAGTTAGATTATATCGATGAGAATTATTAGTGGAAAAAAAGCCGGAAAAATATGCGGGAAATGTTGAGGTACCAAAGTAAATTCATATAAGAAAAGCACAAAAGAATTACTTAATATATTCTGTGCCTTAAGTTTATTTATTTACACGTAAATATATTATATATTATATATATTTTATATTATATATATCACTGTCTTTCTTGTCGCTATAACTCTTGACATTTACATCAACTATATCCTCTATATAATTATCGCTTACGCTAGTATAGATTTAAAAACATCGAAATTTTCTCTTTTCTGACAGACATATATAACGACTGAGCGCATGATCACGTCAAATTATCAGCGAAGAAATTATTTTTATGATTAATTCATTTTGTTCACGAAGTGTGGTGATTTTTTGTATCGATAACGTGACGACAACGAATCGAGAGCCTAGCTAATACTGTTTAAAAATCGTCTTTTTGTCAATCATCTCATGCATATATCCCTTCTACTTTCTCTTCCATCATCAAATAAAAAAACACAAAATGTTGAGAAAAAGAACATTAAATATTTTAGCAATTTAAATACAACAAAATGCATTTATAATTGTTTCGATTTATGAAACGTTACTTCACCGATTCTGGCTCCTATATCTGTTTGATTCGCCTCACACGTTCTTCGATCATATTGATTTGGATAAATTGATCGAATTCGACTTACAACATTTCTAGGAACTCGTATACTTATTTTCCATTTACGAAAAATGAAACAAAATAACAAAGATTAGTCAAGAATATAGTTAACTGCATCTCCAAATTTTCTCATTAGATTTTGTGAAAAAAATATGATTACTGCATGAAATTTTATGTACAGTGAAAGAGGATATAAAAAGGTTTTTTGTCAGTATGACGGTTTTTTTTCGTCATGGCAAGATCGCGGACTTTAATCGTTAATGTCTTCCTTTTGAATAATCCAGTAGGTTAAATTCGTTACTTAAAATATTGATTCGAATATTATTATTTACAATAATACAAGTCAATATAACTTTCTTTTGAAACACAAGGATCGAGATAATCACTTATAACTTTTTTTACTGAAGACAAATCTAGAATGCTCTGTCACGTTACAATTTGGAAAAACTTGACGTTGAAATTGCAAAAACGGATTTTTTTAAAACGTATTTTGCTACAGCTATGGTATGTGCATATTAGAAGTGTTTTATTTAAAATTATTTATATATATTTGCATAGTTGCAATTTTAAAAACCTTTAACAATTAATATTTCCATATATTAATTTATTAATATTTCTATTTATATATATATATATATATATATATATATATATATATATATATATATATAGATAGATAAAAATTTTAGAGTTTTGAGATTGTAAATATATCAAAAATTCAACATGATGAACTTAATAGCAGGTGTTTAAAATTTTTGCTCTTATATCACAATTAATCCATTAATTAATTTATTTTAATTTAGCTGAAAATTAAATTATTTGCATTCTGTAATGAATCTTTCTTAGTTTAACTTTACTAAAACTGAAACAATATTTATTAATGAAAATCTTAAAATTAAATTTTCACAATAAATTTATTTTCAAGATAACTCTATGTTAGATCTGTTATTGATTAATTCTGAATTATTTATTGAATTATTGATAAATTCTAGTTCTATTGATTTAGTCATTCCGTATGATTTGAAAAAAATCAAAAGAAAGTTAATAGATTATTTACTCGGCAAAAAGAAGTTCTAAAATCTGCAATCGATTCTCTTAGAACAAAAAGCAAAATATCAAAATTTCTGAATCAAATAATCGTAATGCCACTGCAATAGAGTATTAATTAGAGCATTAATTAAAAAAGAGAGATGTAATCTTCTCTCCAAAACAGATTTCTCTATTTCAAACGCTTCTAAAAATATATACATACTTTATTTTAATCGGAAAATTATTTCAGAACAAATCATATATAACATGATATAAATTACATTAAAATAAAATATTCTTTTTTACGATTTTAACTTCAAATTTTTAAAAGTTGTAACGAGATAGAGTATTTTAAAAAACTATAAAAAATATTATTTTTCTTTTTGCTTTTTTCTCTTTTCAAATTGCGTAATCTAAGAATCATGACGCGGCATCATTACCATTTCATTCGCATTTTCAAGTATCATTCAGTTGATGTCTTTGCATGAATTTTTCTTAACTCAATCTTAGCAAAATGGTATGTCATTTTTAAAATATAAAAAAATTAAAAAAATGTAATCTATTTTATTCCCACAAAACATATAATATCTAATAATTTTTTCATAAATTTAGGCTAAACAAAATTCTTAACATTATGTTTAAATAGCGTTCCTAATTTATCAACGATCAGTTCATTTTTATTACAAAATTATATATAATTATTGGAATATTCGAATTATACACAATAATCGAAATATTCCCTTGCATATTTAATTGCAACATGCCTCTGTATGAGGGTCAGGTCACCTTTTTTACGAGATTGAAACTCGCTTATAGAAACTTCTTTCAATGCCGCATCATAGGCTCGATAGTAATTGCAACGATTACAAATGTTTGCTCAAGAAAAGACTCTTTATCAAACGAAATGTTATAGAAATGTACTCGATAATAAATGAAACTAATACATCCTTCAAATGCGGCATAAAAGAAAGCATTACTTTGGTCGTGCACTTCCTATGGAAAGAACTTATAGCATCTATGTGTAGATTTGTTTGTTTATTATAATAATTTTCAAGATTTTATGCAGAATATCGAAAGTTTACTTTCATCTCAATAAATCAACAGATTAAAAAAAAAATGTTTCTTCACACAAGTCATAGAAATATAGCATTAGAAATCCATCTCGCTAAATGTGTGACATATCGAAAATCTCACAATCTCGTGACCCATAAAAAATATTTAGTATATACAAATTGCCGTTTCTTCAACTAACATCTACTTCCGTTGTTAGACGATAAAATTCAGTTTCAAACTGTAGCTGTCTCGATTTGTTTACATTCAAATTTAAGATGCAACGGTCTCTCTCCAATTACACGGCAGATGATCATCTTGATGATTTGTGATGTACATGTATACCGTATTTCTACAACGTATCGTATAAATGGCACGAAAAGCTCTTATGTAAACGTTGTAAGCGCAACTTCACTATTAATTGTTAATTATAATGGCAAATAGTATTACAATTAACATTCATCTAGTTTCAAAACGTTTTTATAAAAGCTTTTCTCTTTCTCCATTCATCATAAAATTTGATCTATATATTCAAAATTATCATATTAATAGTGTCTTGGCACATCTTTTCTTTTTTAACATGTAAATATTCTGTTTATATATATGGCGTTCATGCGATTACCAAAGGTTCGTCATCTGAAAAGCCTCGGATCACAGGACTGTCTTCTTCTTCTATAAAAAGAAAGGAAATAAATTCATTAGTTCTTCTTCCTTATTTCACATTGTTTCTCTTTTTCAAAATGAATTACCTAAACCGTCTGTCGTGCCTGGGAAGGTAGCTTGTCCCCGCCTCGTGTCATAATGACTATTGGCAAATTGTGTAAAGCTGTTAGATAATCTTCTATGCCGAATGATGAAATATGCTAGCGCTGCACCCAACGCTAAGACGACTAAGCAGATCGATATAGCGAGAGACAATATGTTCGACGTGTTCATTATCACGGGGAGTTGCGAACCTATTGAATAAAAAAATGAAAAAGCTTATTATATACATATATTAAAGCATATCGCTTCTCGAAAGAGAATCGCCTTAAAATAGAGACTTACCTGAAAATTGCGTACTCCACGTTTCACTCAATGGACTTCGATATCCGTCTTCCGTAACCAAACGTGCGGCAAAGGTATAAATCGTTCCATCTGTTTTAGCGTCCTTGTAGCGATAAGGCGATGGATCTTTAGTAAGAATGACGTTAGCCGTCGTCTCATTTATCTCTCTCGAGCCCTCGGCTACCAAAATCTCGATATGCCGCTCAACATCCTTCGGCATATCCGGCTCTTGCCAATATATTAGATAATCTTTATTATCGTGCAAAACAGTGACTTGATGGGGCGGTTTGATCGGTGGTGCCATATAAATAAATGGTTGAGTGGCTATAGCATTTTCCTCATCAGTCGCTACTGTAATATTATATTTTCCACCATATTTAATAGAGTGGAAAGTATGTTTCATGATAGTTTCATTAGTCGATGATAATGTCACAACCGTCTGTTTGTTGAGGATAGTTTCCGTAACAAAAATCTAGAAAAAAATCGATTAACTTGAATAAATATTAGTTTAGTTACACATGAGAAATTTTTCTCAATAGATACAACTCAATTTTCTTAAAAAAAAAAAAAAAAAATACATTTTCTCGAAAAAAATATTTCGTAATGTTATTAACTTACTGTGTAACTGATTGGTTCGTCAATTGTGGGACAACTCGCACTCCATGAAACGATTATACTGTCATTTTTATCCGGCGATGGCATTACTCGCAATCTTTTCGGAGGTGCGCGTTTGTTGAAGTACGTCGGAACCGTGATCGGTTGACATAAAGGTCCCGCTCCGTAATCTCCAATAACACCAACGGCAAAGAAGTATGATTCACACGCCTCCAAATCTTTGATCGTGGCCGTAAGATTAGTAGTTTTTAACTTGTAAGCTAAAAATAAAATAGAAAGAATATTTTTCATAATAAAAATATAAAAAACAAAAAAATTTAATCACGATTAGTAACATTTAATTTACAACGAAATACCGATTATCTGATTATATTAAAATAATAATTATTATATTAATTATTATATTAAAATTATTAATTATTATTATATTAAAATAATATTCGTGTAAAAAAAATCGTACAAATTTCTTCTCACCTTTAAAGAAATCAAATATATTGGTGGCGTAATGAATAGCATACTGGAATTTGATTTTCTTGGTGCTCTTAGGCGGGTCCCAGGTAAGTTTCACAGTCGTCCTCTGAGACTTTACCAATTGCGCGTCAAACTTTGTTATTAATGGCAGTGCAGTACCGTTCGTCGAAGCCGTCACTGTGGCAACTTTGCCAACATATTTCTTTTTCACTGCACCGACTTCAAAAGTATACTTGATTCCCGGTGATAATTTTGTCACTTCCAATTGATTCTCCATAGTCGTAATAGTTTGTAGCGTTGGATAAGACGGCGGTGCTCTGGGAGTAACATGATATCCATCCACATCTTTCATTTTCTTCCACGTCAACGTGACAGAGTGATTCGTCGTCGACACCACGCGAAGATCTTCAATGTCATCGATGTTGGCCGATCCGTCGAACGTCAACGTGGCAACCTTTGACGAAACTGACTGGTACTGTCGGTTCTTTGCCACGATCCAGAAAGAATAATTCTTGCCTGCCTCAAACGCCATGTCGATGATCGCGGAGGTTTTTGGCCGCGCGAACTCCATGGGCGGTATAGGCGGCGTGATGTAACCTTGATAGCCCATGATAAGACCATTCGGATGTACGGGTTGTCGCCAGGAGACTTCCACGCGAGTGCCGTTCTTCTGCGTAACTGTCACGTTCCACGGCTCAGATGGCACACCTTCGCCAGTTGTTATGATTAGATGCTTTGCTGGTGGAAATACAGTGCTTTGACCCTTCACTTTGACGTAGACAGTCAAATTATACTTGGTGTATGGGTCCAGATCGTTGAATTGGTACTCGGTCTCTTCGATCCACTCACTGGCATTGGTCCACTTGGCTCCTGGGCTTGCCCGCGCGATCGATGGCAGGAACTCGAATGTAACGTTCGATGGAATCGGCATCCACCAGAAGAGCAAGAGGCTGCTATCGTTAATGGCACGCTCATCCACACCCATCACCAGGACCTGATATACGCGTGAGCCGTTCTTCTCGCAGTTACTTTCGTCAAAGCCATCGAAACAATCCTGATGACCATCACAGTAGGATGCTAACGGGAAGCAGCGCGTTTCGTCACATGGGAAGAGACCGACGAAGCAGGATGGGGTGGCGGGTGGACTTGTGTCATGCGGTTGACAGCCGAGCTCGTCACTGCCGTCCGGGCATTCTGTGATGCCGTTGCAGATGTAGGATAGAGGAACACATGAGCCGTCCTGACGGCACATAAACTGATCGTTATCGCGGCACGATGCGTGCGTATGTTCGCAGTGCTGCTCGTCTTCACCGGATGGACAATCGTTGGAGCCATCGCACACCCATGCGTTCTCGATGCAATCGCCATTGTAGCACTGGAACTGATGCTCGCGGCAGATGCGCGACTCCTCGGTCGTATAAATTGGCGCCAATGTAGAGTCTGACGTACCGTCCGCTTCGCTGTGGCAGCCAATCTCGTCAGAATTGTCACCGCAGTCGTCCACGCTATCACATTTCCACCAATACGGTACGCACTTCTTGTTCTGACACAAGAACATCCAATCGTTGCAGGAATTCGTCGGCAGGATGAATGGTGGAAGCGCTGGCGACACGGTAGTGATGGTACAGTTGAATTCGTCGGAACCGTCTAGGCAATCCTTGTCGCCATCGCATGCCCATGACTGGTATATGCATCGATGTCCTTGATTGGTGTTGGTGTTGTTACATGTAAACTGCCACGATTCGCATACCAGACTATTACAATCCCTTTCGTCCTCGCTGTCCTCGCAGTCTGGTTCGCCATCGCACTTCCAAGAAGTCGGTATGCACGAGTGGTCTTTCTTGCAAGCGAACTCATCGGATCGACACGTATTCGGTAAAACGCTTCTGGTGCAATTACGTTCGTCCGAGCCATCCCGGCAGTCGTCTTCACCGTCGCAACGCCATCGATGCGAGATGCAGCGACCGCTGTCGCACTTGAAACGTAATTGATCGGTGCAATTGGCGTACGTGCAATTTTGTTCATCCTTACCGTCCTTGCAGTCGCGATCCATGTCGCATACCCAGTATTTTGGTATACACTTGTTACCGTCGCACTCAAAATTAGTAGGGCTACATGTGGCGCGATTACAGTTGGTCTCGTCCGAGTTGTCGCCGCAATCGTTGTCACCATCGCACTTCCAAAATTCGGGGATGCACACACTATTGTTACAAGCAAACTGATTCGACGAGCAGGTACTGGCAACGCGTGGGCAAGTCGAATTATCATAGGGTTTGATGCCACCTGGACAGAGACATTTTCCGTCTGTCATTACCATGCCATCCGGACAAAGGCACACATGATTGTTGCCCGGTGCACCCAGGCAGATATGCGTGCACGTGTTGTTTGTCACGCATGTGTTGTTGCCGACTTGCACGCTATGCGCAAAGATCTTCAGATCCATCAGGCCCACAATTTGGAAGCCAACTATTGTGTTGATTCCAACGCCGTGATCTTTGTTGGCGACAAAGATCATCGATTGTTTCCAATCATCCCAGTACATGTTGTCCTTCAAAACGGCGACTGCAAATGGATGCGACACGCGCGCATCGTTGGCGATAATCTTTTTAAATCTCTTACCCTCAAAGTCCGAAGAAGCGATATAATCCGCACGGGCATCTACCCAGTAAATACGTTCAGCAATGTGATCAATCGTTATTCCATTCGGCCATTCAACTGTAGGTTTGACGAACAATCGCTTGACGTCCGTGCCATCCATATTTGCGCGAGAGACAGAAGCATTGCCTGGCGACCAGTCGGTCCAGAATATATATCCATTCATGGGATGAACCGCGATACCTCTCGGTTTCTGCAATACGTTCGGGCCTAATATCGTTCTGCGCATTCTGCCCATGGTGGATATGTCTGTTCGAACTATCTGTATCCTCATTTTAACACCATCCACGAAATAGAGCACATTGGACACCCAATCGAAGGCCATTCCCTCGATAGAACTTAAATTACTTTCGACAAGAATTTCAGGATAGCTAACACCTGTCAGACATTGCCTGCCAATTGTATCATTTACAATATCCGCCCAGTACAAACAATTGTTCTTCATATCAAATTCGATAGCAATCACATTTTTCAAATCGTGTACGGGTAACGTTTCCATTTTATTTTCCACCAGATCTATTCGCGTTATGTGCTCCCGTTGAGCAACCAACAGAAATTCTGGTGTTTCGTTCATGGGACATGGTATCTCGTCAGGCTCAAAGTTTCTCGCAAGACCGCCGGAACATTCGTCATCAGATATCTTTATGTAGCCTTTTGTACGATTATAAAACTCGCCAGGTTGACATGTACTTGGCACGGCATAAGGATCGTAATCCTTCTTTAAATTATTGCGGATACAATGATACGGATTTCCGTGACGCGTGAAACCGTAATCGCATTGATAATCGTTTGCGTCGCACTGACAGACCTCCAATCGTACTGGTCGATCGTAATTCACGCCCTGATAGCAATTAGCACGTATCGCGCGTCTCTGATACGTTTCTTTACGTCCTAATACACAGGCCATAACTGGTTGATCGGTACTTGACGGCGACCAGAATTTGTAATCGTCCTCCGTACACTCCCTGTTAAATACATTTCGCAGATCAACCTTGATTATGAGCCACTGATGTTGTCCACTATCCGATCCGAACATGGTAAATACTGTAGTGTTCTCCCCGGGTTCCGTCATGAGACCGTAAACGCGTAACATTTTTTCATTGAACTCATAAGTTTGCCACGTTTCGCCTTCGTCCAACGAATACGAGATATCTCTGGTCTCTCCGCGCGACTTGAAATACTTTACTGCTACTAATAGACCTCCGTGATCGCCCATATTGAAAAAGTAATATTCCCTCAGCACTTGTTTCCACGTGAGACCCGCATCTCGCGAAACATAGAGCGCAGGATGGCCTTTTAAACTGGATCCAATCACGCCAGTGGCCATTATTATTCCGGGCGCTGATTTCGAGCTCATAATCGAGACAGACCTCGTTACCGGATACAACTGACTGAATCTTTGACTCAAGTGTAACGAGCAATCCTGCGGACAATGGATGTAGTAGCCTTCGTTATTCGTTGTCGGCGCTTTAATGCTATTCCAACTACCACCGTGATCAAAAGTGATGACCGATTCTAAGTGTTCCGGTCCAATCGAGCCTGATTTCGGAGTACCTTTCACTCGTGACGCTATGTATATACCTCGAAGACCTTCGACTTTATACATGTCTGTGAATGTCTCGTCAGCTACATCGCTATATAAATAAATACACAAATAAGCGGGGCAAAATTTTCAAAAGTCATACAATTTAGAATTTCACTCCATGCGTTATATTTCATTATACTTACTTCAACCAGCTGTCCTTCCAAGTACTGTTGAGGAAAAATGTGAAAATACCCTCCAAAGATAATGTAAATATAGCCTTTTCATGATCTATGACCTCCGACACATAAAGATTGACCATAGTCTCGCTGTGCGACACCGCGATGAAAACTCGATTGTACGATACATCTACAATATGGTAATCATTGCAATCCAATTCAGTGTTAAATTGCGCCACGACAAACGATTGATTTTTGTAAGACACATGGAGATCCAGGTGCTCCGACGTTCTATTCTGTTAAGCAGAATAAAGAATTAACGATCAAGAAGACTAGATTTATGAAAAAAGATGCTATGTAAGCACAACATCATAATACTTGCCTTTGAATTTTTGACAGTGAACATGTAATCGCCTTTGATTTGGAAATCCTCAACGTTTTCGGTGACAACAACAAATTCTCTTCGTAAAGCCGGTCTTACTCGCAAACCCAAAGGATGTCGACTTTGATGCCAAAGTAAATATTGAATATCTAGTTTCCAAACCGTATTCATTTCAGTAGGCTCTGTGCGTTCCACCAATAAAACACGAGAAGGTGACCAGTAAAAGGCCTTCACAAAGTGTTGTATCGGTACCCAAGCTAGCCCACGATCGGTTGACATCCATAACTGAAATCGATTATAAAATTCAAATATAATATTATTATAAAATAAAATAAAATTCGATTATTATAAAATTCGAATATTCAAATCTTTTTACGAATTCTTGTAATAAAACAGTTCAATAACGAAAAAGTCGCGTGCAAATTCGGTATCTAACTTTATTTCATTCCATACCTTCCGCATCGAATCGACTTTATCCAGTGCGATGAGTACTCGTGGATCTAATTCATAAAACGAGACCTCGGTCGGATGAAATGGCACTGAAATTCTTCGAATAGTTTTGCCGTTGTTAAACGTTATGAAGATTAAACTATGTTGACTGTCCACAAAAACACACTGCAAAGGAAATAAAATGTAGGAGATGTCCTTCCGATGACACGCAATCGGAAATATATATATATATATATATATATATATATATATATATATATATACAGGGTGTCCCAGTTATCTTCTGTCATCTTTCAAAGACAGATTCCTGGGATCATCTGAAGACGATTTTTCCTCAACGAAAATATCGAGGCACTAATAATTTTCGACTTATAAGTGATTGGAAATAAGGAATTTTTCGTAAACTAAGCTTTGTAGAAATAAAATATTAACAAAACCACATTCTTTGATTAATTTTAAATAGAGTTTACTTTAGTTGAATTTTAATTTAAGACTTAATTGCAAAGATATATGATGACAAAAATCGGGAACATGCAACAAATGATGGCCTTCACTGATATTTTTGCTGAGGAAAAATTGTCTTCAAATGATCCCAGGAATCTGTCTTTGAAAGATGACGGAAGATAACTGGGACACCCATCGAACGTGTGTGTGTGTGTGTGTGTGTGTGTATACACGTTCGATAAATAAATAAATTAAATAATAAATAATAAATTACCATTATACATTTTTTTTTAAAAGAATCGATTTTGTAAATAAACGAGACTCACGTATTGGTAGTACTTTGGATGATTAGTGAATTTATCCACGACAGCGTATGCTGCATTGGGCTCGGACGAAATCCTGAACTGTTCAGTCTTATTCTCAAACGTATCGCCATAATCGTAGCTGATGTAAACAGCACTAGGATTGGTCGGGGAGGAGAATCTGCCACCTTGAAAACGCACCACGGGTGTGCTATCCCTTGCTAAACATATTATTACATTGGAACCTTCCCCGACCCAATGTACCATCAATTGCTGATGCGAATCATTTAAAGCATTGACCTGTAATAACGAGAAATATAATGACTGGCGTTTTTCAAGCAAGCGACACAAAGAACCCAGTATATCGCTTTATCCTTGTTGCTTGCCGAATGTAAACAAGGACGAAATGATTCACTGTGTTCCACTGTGTCCTCTGTTTACTGAAAAATGTTTTGTAAGAGATGCTAGAAATCTTACGCATTGTATATAAATTTATGTAATAACAGCTTTTATAAATAATGAGATTTACAAACAATAAGAATTTTATCTTATATTAGTTGGACAAACGGCATGAAAGATAAAGAGATAAGGAGACGAAAGATAAACGTGATTACAAGATTAAAAATCAAGTGCGTAAAATTGTCGATTTGTTGAAAAAATACTGCAATGTTTATGTAGATTTATTAGTATGAAGGAAAACGTATTAAAAACATGTGAATGTAAGATGTATATGCGCGCATATAAATCGACATCTTTACTGCAGTAATTTTAGCTGCATACGCGAAATATATGCAGCAGGAGATGAATCATTGGATATGCGTAATTCGCGACAACCATCAAATTGTTTTCTCTATCGCATTCAATATCTCTTTTCCTTAAACAAAGAATATAAATTCGTCATTCGAAAAAATATAAAGATAATAAATAATTCAAAATATTTCTATATTTCGCAAATTAATGCTAATTAACTGTATATATTAGCATAATTTTTCTTAAAGTATTAAACGCGAGAAAAAAATTCTGATCGATAAAAAAACGAATAGAAGGTCAATCATTCGATAGAAGTGAAAGTTATCTGGCTTTTTTGCGTAATTAATTAAATGCAAAACAGTTTAAAATCTAAAACATGCTATGTATGTTTGAAATAATCTCGCAAAAATGATTATTCCTAAAAAGTGATATAATGCGCATTTAACATTAAGAGCACAGATTAATTAACATTGGAATATTTTTCTCTATCAAAAAAAAAAATGATTTTAATAACTTCGAAAATAATATGATTTTAATAGATTCAAAAACAATATGATTTTAATAAATTCTTCTAGTAAAAGTAAAACACAACCAAACAAAGAAAACGGAGAAATGTAATATATTATCGGTCAAATTAGTTTCTCGGAGCCTTGGGTAGTCCGTATCTCTTCAAAGCGACAAATTGCTGCGTTTTCCTTTGTTATCGAAAATTAGTAGTCAAAGTCAAAGTGCATATGCGCATCTATTAATGTGTCATAGTCACTAATCTATAAAAGCCCGCATGACTAAGCACGCGTTACGTGACATAAGAAAAATAGAGACGCAAAAGAGAAAAATATTTCCAAGTGACTGAAAATTCCAGCTCCAAAGCCAAGTCGCGGAAGAGAGGAGAAGACACGAAAATAACGATGATGCCGCGCGTAACAATCTCGTGTAACGATTTGTTTTCTTCGCAGAATCGACGTTCCCTTCGCGGAAAAGCCGCGGAAAGCGGAGAGAGCGCTTTCCTCGAAATGCGGGATGGGGAGGACGCGAGCCGAGGGCGGTTAGTGACCCCTCGCGTGTATCAATATAAACGATGCGGTCCGCGCGACGACGCTCCGTTTCGTCGAGATTGATTGAATTTACTCCGGAAGAGAGATAATACGGCAATTATGCCCCGGTTGCGACCGCGCACAAAGGCCGCGCTTGTCCGTATCTCGACGATCCCAATAGGAAAAATCCCGCGGGAGCGAGATACACAGACCCATCGGGGGGAGCGTGTCGCGTATCTGTGTACGTGGCGCGTCTATTTACGCTAACGTCCGCGAGTTTTTTTCCTTCCCCCATTTTCCGGGGAGGGAGGGGCGGGAGAACGGAGAGAAGCAACGACCGCTGTCGGCGTCGAATTGCGATGCGACGACACGACGACCTTCACCTACGCGAGCATACGTACCTTGGTCGTGATGTTTGGATTGTTGTTTGGGTGCTCGGGCGATACGTCCCTTCGCGTACGCCCGTCGAATGACGTTTCGTGCCCGTCCTCGTCCGGATCCAGGGACCGCCTGTCGATGATGAGCGGCCTCCTGTAGGACGAGTCGCGGTCCTCCGCGACGTGCAACCGCCTCGCCCTGTCACCGTATCTCACGCCGTAATTGCACTCCGTCAGTAGAACCAAATGGAAGATAAACGCGAGGTAGTAAAGAGCCGCTACCGTCCGGCCGGCCATCTTGCCCAAGACTGACTCTTTCGCTCGAGAGAGCGGGGATATTATGCGCCGCGGCTACGAGCGCGCGCATGCGCACGCGGCGGACGTGTGAACGACGCTTGCGGTCTGTTCGAGAAATGTATCGCGGTGCACCAAGGATGCTCCGAAGTGCATTTATCGAACACAATTTCGCTCCTTCTTCATCCCCGTTCGACGCGGAATGTTTCTGTTCCTGAAGCTCATTCGATTTCCGTCAATGTTAATTTTTATTGCGTGTATAAATAACATTTTTATATTAAAATTAAATTTAATTCAACTATGATGCGCGAATATTATATTCCACGGTTATAAATGTTTTCTTTCATTTTGAAATATCAAAATAATAAATCGAAGTTTTATAGGACGCTGCGGATAAGAAAAGACGTAGAATCTTTCGATAAAAACAACGGATCACCGTTAGGGGAGCGAATGCTTTTAATGACGATGCGCAGATGTAATAATAAAAGTATATTAGATAATGACTTTCATTTCCTGACATGGCTAGAACGATGTCGTTGACGCGCCTAGGTACGTAGATTCCTGTTCGCGATATGTGTAATCGACATCTAAACGTTATTTTTATCCTCTTCGTAAAAAGTTCGTTGATAATTTATTAAAAAATAAACGATTATTGTACAAAAAAAATTACAATTTATCAAAAAGATAAGATAATCAAAAACTAAAATTCTATACAATTACGTTGATCTAGAAGCTATCATTTATTATAACAAATAAATTACATTATAATTAAAATGTAATTAAAATTCGTTCATGTTTTAATGTTCCACAACATACTATAATAATGCAATTATCATAATTAATTGACGATTGTCACACGAAGAAGTAAACAAGACGCACCTCTTAAAAATTAAAATATTGCTTTTTCTAAAAATAAGTTAACTTGCTCAGTTTAATTAAAGATTTTTAAGTTTAATTAAATATTTTTTTATAAGTAAAAAAACGATTGAAAAATCAGAGAAACAGAGCAATCTGGCTTCAATTATCAGCTTTATCGAGAATTTTCAGAGGACTTTTTTTTTTAAAACAATTCGAGTATGTTCTGTTTGAGAATCTTATCTTACCTTGCGTTCACCTAAAGAGATAAATCAATCAACTGATTGCACAGCTGATTGCACAGAAAGCGAATTTTTCGACGATTACCACAATTTGCGGACGATTGCGGTGTCCGATAATTTCCTCCTCGTTTTTCGCAAAATCTAAAAATCACGGGTATTTTCGAGTTCGAACGCGATAATTATTCTTTTCGGACGTATTTTTCTTTTTTTTAATTTCGTTTCGATTCACGATGGACGTAACTAGGGCGTGTAGTTATCTCTGATTTTTAATTTCCTGTTTTTCGGCAACGGTGCACGAACGAATCGATATCGTTGCAACGGAAATTGTGCGCGTTGTTATTACTGTGTGCCTTCCGCACAATCGCGTGTATTTCCAACATTGACATTTAACTCGTGAACCTAGTCCCGCAATTTTGTGACGGTTATCATGCATGGACGGACATCGCATATCCTGACAAACTAAACTTCGCATAAAATGTTCTTACAGATGTAACAATTCGATCTTACATTGATAGATTCATGATAAATAAAAAAATCTCGTTGGAAAATGTACAGATCTTATGAGAACGGGTTTCTCGTGTGTCTTGTTTCGAAATTTCATTATAGTTTTTCCACTGGCATCAACTACAGTTCATATATATATATCGCATTTTATTTCTCAACGAAGCTATAAAAAGGCACATTAAAAAATTACAAGTTGATCTTAATGAAGTTTGAAGGTAAAGTAATTAATGCGTACACATTACATTGCCGTGTCTCGTGCGTGATAAGGAAGTGTGAGTATTGATTCGTTTTCCAAGGGAAGATGGAATTAATCGAGCGAAGTATACTCTTAATACAGTGTTAGATATAAAGGAAAATTGTTTTCTCGCTAAAGAGAAATACTGTGCCATATCTGCATTTCTAACGTATCGAAAATTGCAATCCGAAAAGTACAACCAATTATTTAATTTAAGCGATATTTAATGATACACATGCAAGCTCTTCTTGTATTAAAATGTTCCTATAATCGGATGTATTTTCAGTTATCTAAAAAATTGTTATTTAATCTCGCTGAGATAATCATCGATAATACGAATCCGGTCTTCTTATCTCGAAGATAGAATGTACGCAGAAGGAATATTTCAAAACGAAAAGAGCCACCATGTTAATTCGACAATTATCATATATATATATATCATCTATTATAATAATTTTTATTTCTTAATGTTCTTCATCATTCTCTGTATTTATATATTTATAGATATATTTATATATAAAACACATAGCTATGACATACCAAATGTTGTATTGTTTAGCAATGCGACTCTGATATATTCAAATATTTCCGCTAAATGCGCATGCATGAAATTATAAAAGCGAATATACGATCATTTTGATTAGAATTTATTCTCGCGGACATAATATGCGTACAGCTTCGTATATACAAATCTCTGTGTATATAAGCTTAGCTAAAAAAAAACGCAATTACAAACTTAGATATCCAAAATATTTAACGCAAGTCGGAATTAAATCATAAATTGCAAACGGTCGCCGAATCGATCAGTCGAGTCGCATTGATTTGGAGAACAAATGAAATGTCGTTTAATATATTTTTTCATAAAATCATTGTAATATTTCCAAGATATAATGATTAGATAAAAAATACGGAGAATAAAAAGAATTCTTAAAACTTTGCAATAAAGGGCCTTATAATCTAGGAAAGAAAAACAAGGCAAATGCGATAAATATTAAAAAAATTAACAATTACAAAAGAATAATATATGATCCGTATAATATCACGCCAAATGTCAAGTTGGAATCAAGTGAGATACAGTGATTTGCGACAATGATATAATAATTTACGGCTATATAATAATTTATACCGTAAGCGCTCACTTAATACGAACTGTATCATTTGCGCAAGTCTAGAAATTTTTAAATATCTTCCAATTCTACAGAATTATGATATTTAGGAATATTTAGGGAAAGGTTGGGAGGGGGAAAACTCTCTTGTTAGTTATTATATTTTCTTTATAATTCTTCAATGCGATTTTTTCCCTTAGGACGCTGCATATTTAACAATTTATTAAAAGCTAGTTTATATAATATTATGTCCCAAGTTAGTGTGGCTCTTAAAATATATGGCAGTCATTCAAACGCAAACAGACACGTTTGCAGGGAAAAAAGTCAAATAAAATACTGCAGTGCAATAATATGATAATGAAAGCGATATATCCTAAGCAATCAACACGGCTGGAATCATTTCTCGTTCTCGCGTGTTTATTGTTGTTGAAGATTATATATCTTCTATAATACGAGAACCTGTGTGAAATGCAATAAGAAAAATGCGTCAAAATATTAAAAATTAACTCGTCACAAAAATCTGTGCTCATCGTGTAGAATAATTATACTTCGTCATAAGCCCCATGATTAATATTTATGTTTCCTCTAATCTACATATTTTGCAAATGAATTAAGCTTGTCTCTGTCAAATTTCTTCTTAAAAAAATTGCTAAATTATAGAAATTCATAAAATATTTTCAATCATAAGGGAGATATAATTTATTATATTAAATGACAAAAAATAATTATGCATTTCTAATGCGTGACAATGATAATAAAACACGTAAATACGAATTACGTGTGTATTATAAAATTAAATCCCGTGTCAAGTCTGATCACGCTAACGTGGGACAATAAATGTCACTTGTTCTTCAACTAGCAATATTGCAAAGTGTCCAAAATTCATTGAAGAACTAAATTTAATTAGACTTTCAATAGCCTACACTTGTAAATATCAACATATATAACCGTTAAATATCTCCATTCGTCGAACGTAGGCGTTTTGTTAAAGATCCATTCAATTCGTCCTTCAATATATTTCATAACACCCCATCGTGTGTGATCATGTCTTCTAATTTTTTATTAGCGTTGCTTTAACCATGTAGAGCGACGAAACATTTTTCATAAACGCGATGTTGTGCTGAGACGCATTACGAGAGCGGCTTATACCGAACTTCACTGCTCCAGTTTAGCTGAAAATTAGCAAATGTGAACGGTGATAATTATTTCATCACTAGGGCAATCATTAATTGTCACTTCCAATTACTGTTTTTATGTTACAATTTAGTATTCGTATGCACAATGATGAGATTAGATAAGAAAAAAGGCATATGTATATGTATAGGAAATCAGCTAAAATTCTTGTAAGTTGTATAAATGCGGTTTACAATTTTTCAGGATGACATTTGATGCGAGAATTGTTAAAATTTAATATTAAAAATTAAATTAAAATAATAATTACAGTAATTATTGTTCAGAATTTGAAAGAAAGTACATATTATACTCGCTCTATTTCAACTACTGCATGTTTTTTATATATTATCATTATTTATAAAATAAATATGTTACACAAGAAGGATGCTACCACAAAAGTCTTCCTCAGCGCATTATAAAAGAGATTAAGTCACTTATATCTAATATATATATAAAATTATCAACTACTCCGTCTTTAAGGAGTCACATTTCGTGAAATACGTGTCTGAAATAGATGATGCGCGGATGTACTCAATTACCTCTACGATAAAAATTCCTGGGAATATTCTGATAGCAGAAAAAGCATGAAGAGTAAATGACGATGTTCAGAAGCGGTGGAAGCTACAATATAAAATTTGTGTGACAATGATACACAATAATCCGAATATCTACATAACACACTATCTTATGCGAAATAATAAAAAATATCCAAAATGAAAGCGATAGATATGTATGCGAATAAGCACTTATTACATAAATGTTAAACGATGTGGTAGAGAACAATCGTGTTCCGCATATCTGTCATTTGCTTATGATGGGAGAAACTTTACTTGCAAAATTTATAGATTTTTTTTATATGATAAAAAATGCCTTACAGTTCCCGTAAAAATATTCAAACGCTCTTATTGCTAGATTCGCTCTATGAACACAGAAAGCTCTACGCACATCCAGATATTCTCTCATTTCAGAGATTTTCACGTAATCATTCCGCATTCACAATTGGAAGAACATTCCTGCCGTATTCTTCAGAGAGAAGCTAATTATAACGAAAAACTAAATACAAGAAGAAAAAAAAAAAGACAACTGGAATGATGATCGGTTAATCGTGCAATAGTACGATATGGTAGAATGATCTAGGATTATGTGCGACTCACCGCATTTCTAAATGTTGTTCCAATTGTGTACTGTTTCATACGTTCATTGGTTTCGCTTTCTACTTTTTGGCTTTTCTAAAATATGATAAATGCAATATGATCGAATGCGCGATAGGATGAATGGATTTCGTATGAAGGAGTGAGGGCGCGTATCTTCTCGAATTATTTGCTTTGCTTTACGAGATGATCGTCCGTCACCCGTGAATGATAATGATGATGAATAATGCTTCTTTACGATAACCAAATTATTGTGGTTATCGTATTGTTTGATGATTAATTAAAATAATATTTTAAAGTGATGAAGGGAGGGTCGAAAACATCAAGAAACATTTTTCTCGAAAGAAGAAAAATTAGTCTTGTTAAAAGAGGAATATAATACGTAATGCCAGATATGTGAGGAATATCATTCGAGGAGTGTAAAGTAATGGAAGATGAGAAATGTATAATTTTTTTATTGCTAACAGAATATTCTCTATCAGCTTCATCGGGACGTGTTCAAAAGGATGAAGCAAAATAATAACAAGATAACAGGCATTTTATGTACAAGAATAACATGTTTTGAAATGCTGCAAAACTTAATAACTTATATATTCGCAATATTATTAAAAGTCAATTGTGGATTTAGAATATTATCATTACGTTGCATGTATATTTTATTTGCCAACTTTGTGAAATTTACAGAATTTATTTGGCTTTTAGTTTTAGAAATTCTTGCGCCGATCAATTCGTATATTCATATTCATATCGTCTTAAATTCTCGTGTACGATATTATTACGATATGATAACAAAATTTCTCAATCAACACTTACTTTTTCTTGAGAGTGAAGAAACTACGCCGCTTAGTTTCGGCTTGTGTCGGGGCGGGTAAAGTGTGAGCTCTAGACGTACTTGCACCTGATGTTCCTTGCGCCGCTTGATTTAATACAGACACCCAATCGTTCATCTCGGCGTCATCTTTGGCCTGGAACAGGAAGTCGGATCCGCTTTGCGACCTATAAAAAAAAACAGGTAACAATAATAACATTTACGTGAGCAGAAGCGTAAAATTAGATATGATCGAGGTGCGTTAAATACTGACTTGACTCGGAAGACATGTTTCTTCTTAGTGTAATCACTCGCTACGATAATAGTAGCGCCTCGTAAATCAAGGGGAGCTTCTCCTTTGTACGATTGATCAGGCGAAGCCTTGTACGACTTCTGATCTTTATATACACATAAGTTCTGCCCGCGTACGACCATGTACACCTTGTCCCAAGATCGATTGGATGCCTTCTTCGTCGTGCTTTCCCATTCATGCTTCCGCTGTAACGGTCCTTCGAATTCGTCGTCGCTCGGACTTCGTTGCTCTGCAAAAAATAACGTTCATCATTACTATTATTCGTTGAGAGCATGAGTTTCTAAAAAATTTAAGATTAGATTATAAATTATTATCTGTACGGAAGAACAATATCAGCCTATATTCCTTGTTCTTTCGGTAGATAAAAGCTGCAAATAATCAATGACATTATTATTGTAAGAATTAGTCATAACATGCTTTCAATGTAATACGCTGCCCATAACACATGAAAATCCGTTTTAATTCCTTGTTATTTTAATTCAAAAAGTATGTTTGTTTATCGTTTAAACTCATAATAAGCCGACATGCATTGATATATTTTTATAACGATACTTGAAAAAAAATTTGTCCCAATTATTCATTCCTTTACTTGTTATCCAAATGTAAACAATGTAGCTCTTCGAGTGTCTTCCCACTATAAAAGATATAATTTTATCATAACTGACTTATAGTGTATATATAATGATAAAGTAATTGTTAAAAATATACGTATGCTTAAACAATAACTGAAAATAAAGCATGATTAATTAGTAAAGTAATTATATAGATGCTGGATACATATGAAAGATCACAATATCCACCTGGATATTCAAGAAAAATTCGCAACAATAATTTAAAGTTTCATGTACAAAATTTGATCAGAAACTAAAATCACATCAAAAATACCTTTCCAATTTTCGATAATAATGATTTATTTATTATTAGATTTATTGCAGATGGATTATCCGTTTTTCATCTTGGCTGTCTTAAATTTAAACATGTAGAGAGTGAAGATAAAACGAGTAAATCTTGTAGTAAAAAGAAAAAAAGAAATGTCGAATGAGTGAACATGTAAATGTCTAACTACTGTAGACCACTGTGAATTTCTTTTCTTCACTTACCGGGGATACTACGTTCATCGTCACTCACGCCACTGCGATCTAAACTCGGCGACTTGGCGGACTTTCTCCAGCGGAAACTCCTAAACGGTGATTTGCTCCGACTTCGTTCCTTACGCCTTAAAGACTCGGAGCCGGTTCCGCCTTTTGGAGCTTAACGACGTACGCAACACACATAACGTTTATTAGCTACTTACTTTGTACCCTGAACCACCTAGCTTGTAGCAGAGAATTGATCAGGTAAACAATTTGTCTCACTAATAATCCTCACATCCACATAAAATGTACGTTACATTATTTCTCTATACCCTCTAACTACATACGAACAATATGCGAGGATACGTTCATGCAACATGCTCATGCAGATGACCGATATTTGAATTGAATATTTAATAAATATAATATATTTTTAATTTATCTGCAGAATTATTATATCGTACAAGTAATTATATTTATTCCAATAAATGTATATAATTAATTAAACTGTCCAAACTGAATTACTGTGAGCATAGTTATGTCTCATAAAAGCTATTTGTAGTAAAAAATGGAAAAAATATGCATTAATTTTTTATAAATAAATTTGAAAGAAACACCTGCAGTTTCAAAATAATTATCGTGGACTTTAATATATTCTTCATCTAGAAAAAATAATTTCTTGAAATATACGATCGAAGCAGATTATATAGTTCTGAAAACATGTTTAATCTATTAATCAATCAGAGGAATTAATTAATTTGTTTCAAATAAATCTTTAAAAAGAGTGATAAATCTTTTGCATATATTTATCCCATGAGAAAGTATTCTGCGATGATGTACAATATATTTCTCATGTTTTAAAAATAGTGAAGTGACGTGAGAGACAACAGAATAGAAAGAAAATCGATCGTTAAAAGTTTCGTGTATCTGTAGTTACAACGACTTGCGGTATAATTTGCACGAGACACGCAATGGTCTCGAAAAATAAACCGATACAATCATGTCGAGTATAAAAATAATACGTTCGGGATGAACTCTTGTTGCGCAGAAAAATGGGAAATTTCGCATACACCGCAAGCACGATTGATACCAGCAGTGTCACGGGCCGCACCACCCTGGTCGGGTGTTGCGATAATTGATTTAAAGATGCAAGAGCTATCATCAGAACATTTTTCGGGAAAGTACTTGGTGCTTCTCTTCTATCCGTACGATTTCTCGTTCGCATGCCCCATCGAGCTTATTCAATTTAGCGATCGCATCGCCGAATTCCGGCTTATTGGTATGAAATTTTTCATTATCATTTATCATTATTAACGTCAATATGCCATAAATTCAATTTTTAATATCAAAAATCTTTGATACATTTATAAAAAATTTTTTTTTCGTACAAAATGAAGTCTATTATTATTCTAATTTTAAGTCTCTTGGTTCCTCTTTACAATCATTGTGAATTGATTAATAAATAATTGTATATCTTGATCAATTGTAATAAAGTCCATCCTCGAAAATACAGAATATACAATATAATATAATATAAAATATATTATATATAATAAAATAGATGCAAATTGAGTGCATGTTCACTTTTAATGCAAAATAAAAAAATAATTTCAATCGCATGATACATATAAAAAAAGGTGATTTATTAAATCAAAATTAATAAATTAATTAATAATTACTATATTTTTTTATTACAGGTTCGGAGGTAGTAGCTATTTCAACAGATTCCAAATTTTCGCACTTTGCATGGATGACGACACCGCGCAAACAAGGGGGCTTGGGTGAAATGAAAATCCCACTCCTGTCGGACCAAAATCACCAAATAGCGAAAAACTATGGTGTATTAAACGAAAAACATGGAGTAGCATATAGAGCTCTGTTTGTTATAGACAAACAACAAATTGTACGTCACGTAACGATAAACGCTGACGATTTACCGCGATCGGTGGATGAAGTTCTGCGGATCATAAAAGCTTGCCGTTTTGTGGATGAACATGGTAGCGTGTGTCCCTTTGGACCGTTGCAAACGAAAACCGCCTCCCGAAAAGAGCCAGATTATTATTTCCACACGAATTAATTCCCATCAAATATCAATTGCATCCTTATATCTGAGATTTCTCACTTCAAAATTGAAGGTGTAGTCTTTCATTAATTATGCAATTTACATTGACTGCTATTTAATTGTGAGACAATTATCATGACAATTCAACGTCACGAGGAAAAAATATTGATAAAAAATATTTTACACAATGTATACGTAATTTGACACAGTCCATTGAACACTTACTTGTCGGTGTGCGAGGAGTACCATGCGGCGGAGTTTTCGCAGAGGTTGGCGAGACAGGAATCCCTTCTCCTTCCCGGAAAGACAGTTGCCTAGGTTTTTGTGCATGCACTACACCACACCAATCACAAAATCATGCTATATATGTATATATATATATTATTCTTACATGTACATCGCGTGATATTAAATACCTTATGTATATATTCAACACAATTATATCGAATAACTTTCAATAATTATAATTAATAAATGTCAAGACATCCGTTACGAAAAAAATCGCGCTGCTGAGAAAGTGAAAATTTAAAATTATTTATCACAAAAATTACTTCACATTATAATCGAAACTAATAATTGAACTTTTTATATATAATATATAATAAAAATATACATATATTATATAATAATATAAATATCTGTTATTATATTAATATATTTTAAAAAAATATATTAATATTATATTTATAATATATAAATATATACTCATAAATAGTATTATAAATATTTGTTATAGTGACATATCGCGTCCCGAATATTTAAGTAAACGATGAGAATATAGAATACTGTATCTCTACATTTATAGAATAACGATTCCGATATACTTATCTTCCAATAAGGTATTTAAGCATTTTATCATTTATATAAGTCAATAATCGTGCGATGAACAAGGTGAAATACGATAGTTCAAATACCTACCAAATTAGCGATGCGAAATGAAATGGTTTATAACAGAGTATAGTACGAACCAAAAATAATAACAATAATAATATAGATAATGTATAATTAGAATTATATTGTTATAGATGTATATCGTTTCACGCGTGTGTCTATTCATACGTGTGTCTACTAAATATTATCTATATTATTTGAAATATTTAGTAAATTATGAAACATATGATTGATATATCAGCTTGTGACAGATGACGAGAAGAGCATCTCGGGTAATAACAGCCCTCACCTGGTAGAGAAAAAAAATTAATAAAAGCGCATAAATGATGACTTGTGCGGGCGAGAGCGGATAAGTGCGGTGTTGTTACGAATATGCTGAAAGATATAAAATTATTATAACATAATGTGACTTGATGCTTATGTGAATCCGTAGAGCGAAGCAATTAAATACTGTTACAAAAAATATAATATTATGATTATCCGTTATCCATCACCAATTTGATGAAAGATTATAGGAACTACCATAAGATTCGATTACAGTTTCAAAGCAGTCGTGGAGACATATTAAGATCTACTTAATATGAAAGTTTTAATCTGCACAAACTTTGTACGCCTCACGTAAAACTCACCTTCCTTGGGCTTGTCTTGAGGCTGTGGTGTACGTGTAGAAGCCTTGCGATGTGCCACTGTGGTTCGTGCATTCCGTGCCGCATTAAGGTGCATTCGGGAAGGATAATATGAGACGACGTGGAGCGATGGATTTATACGTGGATCGGAATAGATTTAGGTTGCGGATAGGAGAAGGCAAAAATAAACGTGCTGTTAGCGATGTCACACATGCTTATCCAAACAAACCGTAACGCTAATCGACAGAGTTAAACTTTACGTCAAGAAGCAAGATTTTTTTGCTGTACCGATTATTAGTCATAACAAAAAGAAAATAAAACAAAACAAATGTTATATACCGAACTCGATTTGATTCTTTCAAAATCTCTTTCGGTTATATAAAATTAATTACTACCATCTCGCTGTTACTAAATCAATAAATCAATAAAAGTTTTGCGAACACATCACGTACAACCCCAATTAGGAAAGCACTCGACATTACATTCTAAATAATGTACGTATATTAAATATCGTTATTTATCATTACCAGCATTCAAACGGAATGCAAAATCGTAAAAACGAATTAGAAGATAAGTATCGAGAAGTGTTATATAGAGAGCTTCGATTAATATAAATCCATATATTATTAAGTGTAGTTATATTACCATGTCCCTCGTCTTCTCCAGCGCGTTCACCGCTTGTTGCTCCGTCAGTTTCGGCTCTGCAGCAGGTAAAATTTATTCGTGACAATCATATCATCGTGTAATCGCAACAAAATATTTACCTTTCACTAGGTGGCTCATCTGGACTAGTAACAGGTGTTGCCTTGGCCAAACGTGCGGCCTCTGCCGCTGCTGCCTCCTCCTTCTTGCGTCTTTCCTCTTCTTCCCTTTCTTGCTCCCGTCGCTTTAGCTCTTTCAATTCGAACTGTGCATTTAGAAAGACAATTATTTATTTCCAAAATCATAATATTCATTTAAAGACGAAATATTTAAAAGTTTTTAAATTTAGATTATAACAGAAAATTTTTTAATATTAATATAAATAATTTTATAAATGATTTTACGGTATTTTTATGTTTTCTATTATAATATTACCTAGTGATTGTGTGTGTGTGCGCATATATATTTAATTACTTACAGTGGTAAGTCGGTGCAAGGCACTAAATCTTTCTTCTTGTGCAGCTGCCGATTTTTCAAAAGCTTCATGTTTCTTGATCAAATTTTCAACCTCGTCAATAGTATGCTGTGAAAATAACAATTTTCTTCTTTAAAAAAAGTTGCACGCTTAATTAAGAATTCGATATTTAAATAGTATGCTGTAAAAATAACAATTTTCTTTTTTAAAGAAAGTTGCACGCTCGATTAAGAATTCGGTATTTATGTTTGCGAAAATAATTACTTACACCGAGCTCTTGACTCATAAGATACGGCTCTTGAGCGATTAACCATGCTTCAGCAACCGCTGCATCTCGGGCAAATTGATAGACTTCCAAAACTATGGCAAAAAATAAGCAAGTATTAAATAAATACACATGCATACAGTATATTTATGATTTTTAAAATATTAGATATTTCACAAAGATATCCAGTATCTCATATTAATCGAAAGATATTAAATTGTATAATAAAATTGAAATATATTTTCCGTTAATAAATATAACTTACTGAGCTGCAAATTTTCCCAACGTTCCTCCCATCGATGTAAAAGCGCATTTCTGTGATCGGTCAATGCTGCCAATTTTTCCTTTATCTGCGCGCTAGCGTAATGATTTCTGGCTAGCAAATCTTTCCCGAGATTGATGCATGCCATTAGATTATCCTCTCTAGCATCGATTTCCGCCTTCAAACTCTGATGATTGTTCATCAGTAATTCAACACCGGCGACATCGCGTGGCTTTTCAGACGTGTTCATTTGACGTACAACGTCGTCCATCCAGATCATCAAGGTTCTAACCATGTTGAAGAATCTGAAGAGGTCTCCGGTGTCTTCCAGTTTAGTTCGTCTGCCCTCGCACAACGATTGCAAATTATTCCATGCTGCCACGACTTCGGCTTCGCGATTCGTAATCTCTCGTGCTTTGTCACCAGCGTAACTCGCTTGCAATTTGGCAGATTCCTCCTCGATCTGTGTCACTTGACTCTGTAATGTGGACAAATCCTGGATAAAGTTGGTGTGCTTGCGTTGGAGAGCGGATACCGAGCCGGCATCTCGACCCAATTCATCGGACATGGCGTTTTGTTTTTCCAGGATTCTACCGAGAACGTCCTTGCAGTCGTGGAAGAACTTGTGCAACTCGCGACTGGCCACCAGCATCTGTGTACGCGTCTCAATTAATTCGAGAAGATCTTGCCAGACCTCGTTCAAGCCGTCCTTCCATTCGGCGATCGTTGCTGCATCAGAATGCCCAGTGGCAATCAAAGAATCGGCGATGCCGTTCACGGCTTCTACCCGCTCGGAACCGATCGCCTCGGTATCGCGCGCAAACTCCTTGAATCTTTCCCACAATAGTGTTACGTGATCGTAATCTTGGCCCAATTCGTGACTGCCGGCGACCAGTTCGCGTTCCTGAATCCACTGCTCGAGATCGTCGACCTCGCGGTTCAACATGAATAATTGCAGGGCCTCGTCCAATTTGGCGCGTCGCTCGCCCGCCAGATCTTTCAAACCGGCATAGAGTTTATCCGCCTGCGACTGCTTCACGGCGATTTGATCGGCTAATGGATGCTGATCGTTTATAAGCTGCCGGGCGGTCTCGCCGAGCTGACGAATCGTTTCTGCGTAATCTTCCACCGCGTGCTCCAGAGACTCGTGCTTTTTCATCAGATTCTGAGCGGAGATCTCATCCTTACCGCGATCTTCAACCATCATGTACAACTCCTGCTCGCTCATCCACGATTCAGCCTCGGTAGCATCGAAGAAGTATTGCTGCGCCTTCTCGTTCTGTAGCAAATGCCTGTTTCTATCGTCGACTGCGTCCTTCAATTCGCGCCACTTCTCTGTTAATTCGGATATTAATTTCTGGAATTCGGGACTATCTTCGTGTCCCTCATCAATTAACTTCTGTCCATTATTGCACACTAGATTAATCCTGGGTTCGTGGTTATCGATCTCGGTACGCAGCGATTGATTTTTCTTCTTCAGCATGTGAACATTAAACAACGAGTTTCCATACTCGGTACTAGTCGCCTGCGGCATCTTCTCCGCAATCCACAATTTCTCGTCTTCGACATCTCGCCGGAATTGGAAGGCTTCCTTCTTTTTCTCGAGATGCCGCTGGCGATCGATGAGAGGCGCCTTAAGCTGCGCGAATCTCTGAGCGACTTTCTCCTTCTTGCACTTGATCTCCTCCATCTTATCATCCGGCACTGTACGCTGCAAATGTTCCGCCTGTTTGTCGAGTTCGGTGACTTGTTTTGCTTTCACCGCCATTTGCGTCTCGATCATCTGCTGCTTCTGCATCAGTATATTCACGGAAGCTAAATCAGAACCAGTATCAGTGCTCTCTATCTGCTTCT